GGGGCCTCGGGGCAGGGATGGAGGCCAAAAAAAGAAAAAAGAAAAAGAAGAAATAAAAAGAGTAAAGAAACGAGGAACTTAGAATCCACCTACGTCGGGAAGGCCGTCAGGTCACCAGTGCTTTGATGAATGTATCTGGCCAGGAAGTGAGGAACATGAAACAGGTCGTTTTCCTTTTTTTTGTTTTGTTGTGAGGTCCCTGTAGCGCCCTGCCAGCCAGGCAGGGTGGATTCCACGCTTCATTGAGTTCCAGACAAGTACTGTAGCATCCTGTATCGGACCGCAATCACAGCATAAGGGATTTTTTTTTATTTTTTTTTATTTTTTTTATCTGCTGTTTGGGGATAGACGAGGGCCCTGACTGAACTGCTACGGAAAGGCAGCCCGAGTTTCAACTGCAATTGAAACTCGGGCCCTGACTAAACTGCTAAAAGCAGTCTCGAATGCAATTACAAACTGTTTTCGTGACTGAGCCGAAGTTACCCCTGTTTTTTTTTGTTTTTTTTTGTGAAGCGACCTGGCGTTGGCTTGCCCGACCCTCGAAAGTCGCGGCGCGTTAACGGCCGCGACTTCTAGAAAACAGCGGGGAGGTATAGGTGGTTTAACCACTTGTGACCCGGGACTGAGGTGGACCCTCCAAATTATTCACATACCCAACTACTGGACGACTGAAATTACCCTCATACCCAGCAGCTGTTGGGCCACAATGGTCCACTTGGGGGGCACGAGTATAATTTCGTGATGTGCCCGCCACTGGGTGTGGGTACACCCACAATTTTGCCAGCCCGGTTTCTGGGCATGAGCATAAGTTCATGGTCTGGACCGGAGGCCCTGTAGGACTCGGTGCGCCCACAATTTTGCAAAGGGGAAAAGTTGGGTACCATGCAAAGTTGAACGGGTTCCGGGTATAGATGCAAGTTGGAGCTGGGACTTCGTATATCGGGTATTCCCATCTTTAAACCACCAGTACTTGGGCGACGCCTTAGCGTTAACGCTACACGATTTCCGCGGCCGGCGGGCCGTCGATAAATCGAATCGACAGCCCGCGCTGCTTGGAGATTTGGGCGGCCGGCGTGGCGCACAGTGCCCAAGTACTGGTGGTTTAAGTGGGGTACATATACAATTTTCCCATTTTGATTTCATGATACCTGTGTCACACCGTTGAGCTAGCTCAACTCAAGGGTGTAAGTGGGACATGGCCCAGGTCTCAGCTGCCTTCTCCTCATTGGGGGACAGCCATGTTATTTTCTCTCACCTCACATATCTTTTAAACCACCAGTACCTACCGGTTAGGGTGGCCGTTAACGCAGAAGCTGAATCGGCCTGCCCCTCCAGTCCAAATTCATTCGAGGCCAGGGGGTACGAAAAATGCGGTATATCTTTCTTCTCACTACCTACCACTACTCCTAAGGCTATACAGGGGACCCTTGCAAGCATAGCTTTCTACCTCTCTCGGTGAAGGGAGGTTACCTCTCTCGGTGGAGAGGGGTAACGGCATGTTTGCCCCTTTGCCCTAGCGTTTTAGGGTGCAGGGTTCGGACCGCCGGTGAGGGCCCGGCTAACACAAGGACCGGACATTTTCCAGTAACTGTGCCTCCTTTTTTTTTTCTTTTTTTTTTTTTTGGAGTAAAATAAAATTCATTCCATGAGAGAGACAGGGGCCCGGGAATACACCCCGACAAAAGCAACCCGGTACAAGTACATGCTCGGGCCTTTACCCAGCTGTAGGCTCCTGGAAACCGGGTCCAGTGTCCCTCAACATGAGTATCTCCAAAATAAGCATACCTCCTTTTTCATCTTCCCCCACCCCCATCGAGTAACAGTAGTGTCTAAAGCCAACACCCTCCCACACACCAAACGCAACCCACTCACACACCCACTCACACCCGTGAGTGCCTGAAGACGGTGACCTACACGCAACCCACTCACACACCCACTCACACCCTTGAGTGCCTGAAGACCTTACTGATACCGACTGGGAGGATCCAGCTGACTGTCTCAGCTGGTTGGCACCAAGAATGCCACAGGCGGCCATGGGGATTGAACCAACGACGTCCTGAATGCCACTTGCGTGCCTAACCAATTGAGCTAGGCCGCTGGATACTAATGTTTCCCTCTGCAATACAGCACTTCTCACAACAACAACAAAAAAAAGAAGGGGGGGAAATGAAGTGCAGCAATGGAGTCAGTACGGATGGGACCACTCGCCAGGATATTTATAAAAAAAAAAGTGCAGTGTCTTCCACTTCTGACACTGCAGTGTCCCGCTCGCAAGGATATTAAAAAAAAAAAAAAAAAAAAAAAAAAGGATAGCGGCCGTTATCTACATAATGATGATCACCTGCCATTACATCTTGATTCGTGCAGGTGCGATCTAGACCCTGGTGTGTGCACACCTCATTGAATGAAGACCAGGCTCTCTGCATGACTTGGGCGCTGGGCCTATCCGGAAGTTTCTTAGTTGAAAAAAAAAAATAAAAAAAATCTTAGTTGGGGCAACGGTAGTAGACTTTCAAACAGGCAAAAATAACATGCTTCAAAAAAAAAAAAAAAAAAAAAAAAAAAACATGCTTCAGCCGGTCTGATGTCTTGTTTATCCACTGTGATTCAAAGGCTCTCCTCAACGGCTTCAACTCTCAGGGAAAACGTTTTTTTTTTTTTTTCTTTTTTTTTTTCACACTGGCCGTTTTCTAAACGTATCTGACCACAACTACGGACATAGGGCGTCGTTCGACACTCCTCGGAGCGTCCTCGAGCTCCGAGGGCGAATCCTCGGAGTTTTTTTTTATTTTTGGAGGCGTCGTTCCACCTGTCCTCGGAGAGCAGCCCCGAGGATGCATCCTCGGGGTCGTCCCTCGGCAAGTTTCATGAGATTATAGATGGCCGCGAGGGTGTTGTCCGACCTCCGATTCGGGATGTCCGTGTGTGAGGCGCGCTGGTCCACCAGCCAGACGGCGGCAATACGTCACGGGCCGTGGAAAATAAAACTGCGAACGCGGGAACGGCCCCGTTCGAAATTCGAAATTCGAATTTTCTCCGCGTGGAACGACGGTGTGGCGGCGCACAGGCGGAAGAGCACGCCGACTGGGGGACAAGCGCGCAGGCTTGACGTCGCGTTCCGTACTTCAGCGGCACCGCGCCGCCACCGTGTGTAGTGTGTTCGTCGCAGGCAAAACGAAGCGGCGTGTCAGCTCCTGCGCTCTCCACGTGCATGCGAGCGGCGCTTCCGTGGTTCAGGGACGGAGGACGAACACTCCCATCACGGTGTAAGTTTTGTCATCACGCCTGTCTTCCACACCTCGTTGTAGGCGTCTTCGATCGTCGCCGTGGTCATTGATTCGCGCAGGTGGGTGGCGGTGGACGTTGCTCTTCGTCGTGGATGTGCGCGAATGGAGGGATGCGATGGGGGTGGCCGTGCTGTGCTGTCGCGGACGGAGAGGACAGCTGTAGTGACGGCTGCCGTTGCCGTAGTCCGTCGATACGAAGCGGAGAGGGCGGCGGGCCGCATGAAGGCAGCGCTTTCCAGGCGGCACAGGCTTCTGCTGCAGAGGGTGTTGGATGCCCCGGACTGCATCACGACTTCGGAGGCCGTGGTTCAGCTGTGCGCTGCAATCGGCTCCGGTGTGCTTCCCAGGGCGACGCCACGTTGGTGGATGAGGCGGAGAACTGGCGGGACTTGGGAGGATTTGCGGGKGTGCGATGACGCGACGGATGACTACTTCCGGGAAAAGCTCCGCATGTCGAGGAGAGTGTTCATGGAGATCACCGAAGCCTGTGCGCCTCATTTGCAACGACAGGTCACGTTTTACAGGGAGCCGCTTCAGCCGGATCAGATCGTCGCATACGCGCTGTATAGGTGGGCAACAGGAGAGTCGTACGACAACAGCACATCATCGTTCGGCATTGGCAGATCATCCGGAGTTCGAGCCGTGCACGATGTGACAGCCGCGTTGTTGAGGGTCTACGGGGATATCGTGGCCGACGGGGGTGCGTAAACACGTGGTGCTACGGGCGTTTCAGGACAAGGGCTTTCCCAACTGCCATGGCGCAGTTGACTGCACACACATCTATGTGGACAAACCGGCGAACGCTCCGAGCGTGAACTACTTCGATCGCAAGCACCGTTTCTCCGTCATTGCGCAGGTGGTGGTCGACCTGGATCTGCGTGTGCTTGACGTCTTCGTTGGCTACCCAGGCAGCTGCCACGACATTCGGGTGATCCAGCTGTCAAGTCTGTCGAGGCGAGCGGAAGAGGGAACGCTTTTTCGCGAGCCGCCTGTAACGCTGCCGGGAGGGGTGAGGACGAACGGATACATCTTGGGCGACAACGGGTATCCTCCTTCAGAATGGATAGTGGTGTCGTACGGAGGAATCAATCAGCACCCGGACGAGGAAAGGTTCGACAACAAACAAAAGGTTGCTAGAGGTGCTGTGGAGAGGGCATTCGGGAGGTTGAAGGGGATGTGGAGGCTCTTCCTGCGGTTGCACAAGACGAACTTGGACACTCTACCGCAGCAGTTCACGGTCATCTGCATTCTCCACAACATCCTGCTCAATGCTGGAATCAAGTTCGACGAGAAATTGTTGTGGGAGGTCGACGAGAACGGGGTGAGGCGACGAGTGGACCTGGGGATTCATCGTCCACTGCAGCCAGTGACGATGCCGACATCGACGGACGTCGCACACACGCTCCGCAATGCCCTAGCGGAGCGAATGAAACACATCTGATCGTGCGTGTCGCGCCACTCTGCCTCGCGTACACAGACAGAAGCCGTGCGCGTCCGTCGTCGAGTCGCAGTGCTTGCGTCATTCACGAATGCGCGCAGTTAGCTCGCAAGGTTCGCAATGGCGGACGGCTCGTTTGTAGGTGTTTGTTGTTGTAGTCGACGGTAGTGTGCTTCTCCAGGTCGTGGGTGATCGGCAGTGAAGCGGCTCAATTGTCGTAGGTGATCGGCAGTGACGTCGCTGTTTTTTTTTTTCGTTGTTCATTGATGTCGTCCTTGCCGCGGCGGTGTTCCCTCGCAAATCCGTGGGCATGGGGATGGGAAATGTGAGGG